GACCTGGTTCACCTGGCATCACCCATGCTTTCAAGCGTTTAGGGTTATCGTAGTAGATCCATTTTTCATCGCCAGTTACGATACGATGTAGAAAACCCTTCCTTTGTTGTCGTTGACGAAGCATCTCGCAGATGACCAAACGTCTTTCCATGTCTCTCTCTTTCAATTTGTATGGCACCCAATTTCCTTCTTTTTGCACCATTCCCATTGCGTGTAGACGTTTTCCAACAGTGGATCTATCAACATTTAACTCTTTTGACAACCTATCGAGCGATAAACATGAATCTTCTTCGAGTAATGCTTGCAATTCTGCATCTTCAAATTTTTTCGGTGCACCTTCGCGTTCTTTGTCACGCACGTCAAAATCACCACTGTTGAATCGCCGAAACCATTCTTTACAAGTGGTTTTCGATGAAACATGCTCACCTAAACATCTACGAGCAAACGATGCGATTCTGCAGCACTTTTCTTTAAAATAAAATAATGGAGTAAAACTTCCCGCAATTGTTGCTTTTTTGGAGTAAATTCCGACATCTTCAATGCAAAAAAAATTACTCTTTTTTACGCTTCGAACGAATGCCAACTATTGGGCTCAAAAGTTTGAACACAAACCTTTCAAACACATGTGTTGCCGTTCTATCAAACACACAAGCAATGCTACTAACGACATCTTTCTACAATGGGCGGAAACTTATTCCCATACCCAATACAATTTCCGTCCAGAGTTTTTTCTTTGAGAAACGGAGGGCGAATTCTCGTATTTCTTATAGGAGTGAAAGTTTCCTCTGGTACAGAATGAGAGCGATCCAATGATGTGATTATAGAACTGTGATTTTAGATTTTAGAATAATGGCGGTAAGCCTAGAGGGTTAAATATGCAAGCTTGAGCAGCGTTGAATCATCAAGTTTTCGACTAAAGAAAAGATTAAGACTTCAGAAATTTTACGGGAACCCTAATTCAGTGACAAGCTTTCCAAATCTCAAATGTATAAATGCAGAAGTTCAGAAATGGTTGGAAGGAAGTCGGTGATGTTCACTGAGCGGTAGCTCCGTACCATCCCACTTCTATTCTAATATTATTACTAAAACGATAGGAAAAGTGTCAGTGTAGGGGCGGGGGGACTTGAAAAAGACATCTAAATTGGAACTAACACATACAGTCCTGTCGCCATTACTAAATTCCAGATAAAAGTTGAACTACTCATGTAATAATTAGGCAAAGAAAAAGAATAACATAATTAAAACTATTTAAAATACGTTCATTGTATAGACAATACTTATTTGACATTGTATAGTTCTACATTTGTGAATATGATTAAAGTTGTGTTCAGATATATTACTAGTAGTACTGAAAATTTATAATTTATCTTAAGTATACTATTAGAGTTTCAGTACTAACAGTGTATATCGAAATATGGTCTTTGTCCATAATAATGAGTGCTTTAAATTCACAAAATTTTTAAAAAAGTTGAAAATTTTCACAAATTCGCACTTATATTAGTAAAATTCGCATAAATTCGCCATTACATTAGTAAAATAATTTTCTTATATTTATGTGTAAAAAATGTATAGAATTTAGACTTTAAAGTTTCTTTTTTTCTTTCTTTACTTCATTTTCAGGTATTAAAAAAAGATTAAAAAATTTTTAAATACAATAAAAAAATTTAAAAATCAGAAACTTACATAAAAGTGGGACTTGGCCAAGATGCTGACTGCAGAAAAGGGCCAAATTCTTACTGTCTTGAAAGCAACTGCTGGCCGCAGCACACGGAAAATGAAAATAACGATTGCACGAGGTTACCTGTCAAATACCGCAATTAGTTATAATTAAACAGTCATAATTAAACTGTGAATACATATAAAACACTTTTCGATTTTTATTTTTACAATTATTTAATTCTGAATAAAAAATAAACAATTGTTTTTACTTTTATTATAATTCATACATATATATATGTATTATATAATATATAAAAATCTTTATATCACTGACTACTATGATATATGGCTAAACTATAGCTTACTTTGCAAGAAATTCCAGCACCATAATGCGAGCAATAGGCGCACCGTCTGGAGGAAGCTTGTAAAACAGCACGACATGCCAATTCTGGTATTAAAACTTGATTGTTGCTAGACCAGATAATACATGATTGATGAACATAATAATGACCGGTTGAGGAATCAAACAGAGTCCCGACTTCTGGTTCCTCCAAATAACCTACGATTGTCAATTCTTCCACCGGTTCCGTGAAATTAGTTAGACTAGTATTCCTGTAAAAATTAATTTTAATATACAGACATAAATTTTAATATATTTTAATTGTTTATTTCTATATAAGTTAATAAGCACACTTTATGAATTTGCTAGTTAAGAATTAGTTTGTAATATATTTTTACCTGCATTTGGCTAGACTTTTTTGTCTACGACAGGTAACAGCAATTCCAGGTCCAGTAGCACGCGGACTTTTATCTCCTGCGACAGCGACATTGACAAGATGGTCGCTACCTGTTTCATCGCGGTTTGTCGGCTTCTCAGGAGTGAAACCCAGGGGACATGTCAGACGCAAAAGTTCACCTTGTCCCAACTGACTCCTCTCGCCTAAATTGCATAACGCGCACACTTTGCCCGGCCTAGAAATTTTTATAATTATAGTTTTTAATATCGTTCAAAATACTTAAATTTGCTTTTTGTTTTAGTATTTCATTTCTTTTTTATTTAATTCATCAAAATAATTATTTCATGAAATATAAAAAATATTTTTAAAATTCTATTGTGTATGTAAATCATTTTTTTTATGATATTTTATATATTCAATTATTAAAACTCATTTCAAGTACAAAATAAAAATTATGAAGAATTATCTTACCATTGTTCGGGAAAATAAGGGGGTTCTTCAGGCGCCGGCATTGATCTCTCGATCGAGTTTCCCACTAATTCACTACTACCATCAGGACCAGTATCATCCATCCCAGTGATACGCAAAGGACTTGGTGATTCTGAGTGTGTGTCATCATCTTTACTTTTGGTGCGACGCGGTATACCTCTTGTGTATCCAAATCTATAGAAATAGATAATAAAATATTAAAAAATGACATCAAATAATTCATAAATGCTCTATTAAAAATATAATTTTATATATACACATATATAAGGATACACACATAATCATAGTATATACATATATGCATATGTAACTAATCACGCATTGTGTATATATTTAAATAATAATTATAGTGACTAAACAAACCCTTTGCCTCTGGCGCTACCCCTTCCAAAAGATCTTTTTGTGCTTCCTCCACGAGTTAGACCAAAAGGTCGTTCTTTCCGAGGTCTGCCAGGTCCACGGCGAATATTCAAAGGTTTACCACCAGGTAATGAAAACTTTGGGTACCGCAGTGGATCATGAAAAGCCTCATCTGATGTAACTAGAAAAAGGATAAAGAAATAAATTTTAAAAGATAAATCGAACTTTCTTTGTAATTTTTGTATTATTTTATTCTTTACTTAATTTAATACTCTACTTCTGATATTTTAGTAAATTAAATAATTATATTTATATTTTATAAATATTATAATAGCGATTGCAACATGCATATTATTTTTCTAAAAATAACAAAGAAAATGTTTAAAATATAATTACTACTACCAGTGGTTGGTGTTGTCTGTCCAAGCAATTGATCCGAGTTAGCTGGAGATATAGGGATGCCTGTTGTTTCTTCATCTTCGTCTTCACCATCGGAAGCCTCATCCAGCTCCATCTCCTCTTCACCTTCAAGTCGCACTTCATCATCCATGACACACACACTCTCTCTCTCTCTCTCTTTCTCTCTCTCTATTTTTGTTTTGCAAAGCTAAAAATTATATATTATTATAAAAATCCTGTTTCCAGCTAAGAGAAACAAATTTAACTTTTAATTATAAAAAAACTTAGTAATACTTTGACCCTTGTATGTAAATTAGAATCAGAAGAATAATCTATAAAACAAAACCAAAAGAAGTGCTTTGATTATAAGATCCTTTTTACAAAACTACTGTACAACTACCGCAAAATATTTTGTCAGAATACTGATAACGTAGTTGAATAGATTTTACCAAAATGCACATTTTTTTCTCTTAAACTCTAAAATTAAAAATAAGCTATTTAACAATTACATATCCAACTCGCGATAAAAAGACAAAAATCGAAATTCTATAGTAATTCCTCCGCTCTTCACCCCACTACCATTGCTCTAACCAGATTCGTCGTTTTCCTTCAAATGGAAAAAGTACGGAAGGTGAAGGAGGAGCCGCGACGGTGACGAGGAGTAAGCACATTCGCCATTACTACGTAAACAGATTCTCGTCAGGGCGCGCCGCCGTTTGCCATTCGCGTTGGCGGGGTGCCGCGGAACTCGGCACTGTCTGCGGTCCACGTACCTGAGAATTAATGCTGTCGATAAGGCGACGTGAATATCATGATGGAATCGACGACGGATCGCTGGTTATCATGATGAGGGCGGCACAACCAAGTAAACATGTTGGAACAGCACGAACGGTCCGTGGAAAAAAAATGTCACATACACAGGTAAACGAATGGAATCCCTAACGCGAACGGAAGAGTGCGCGACGCGACTAGCACACTAGATGACTAGAATCACGGAGAACGGATATGCGCGCGCAAGTATGCTGCACAAGCGCCACACGTGAAACTTCCTAGGATTCACTTTAAGCTGACTTTTCATGCGCTGCACGCTGCAACAGCAAAATTTTGGATGCGTATTGCTGGATTCACACTGCATCCGATATGCATCGTACGACGCATTGCAACCAATCAGAAAACAGGATTCCGATGATACGAAGCAAAATCCATCGGAATTCTGTTTTCTGATTGGTTGCAGAACGTCGTACGACGCAAATAGGATGCAGTGTGAATCCAGCATATGTACTTGACCAAGTACACCGGGCGAAAAGAATTAGGCCCAGTCCCACAACTCACGGTTAACTTTTAACTGAGGTTCAACTTATTCATTGTCTCTTTTCAATTCTAGAATTGGAAAGACATGAAAAACAAACTGAACCTCGGTTAAGAGTTAACCGTAAGGCTGGAGTCCCATGAGGTGTATTTACCGCGTATCGCGTAACCGCGTAACCAATCAGAAGCGATCCGCTGTTGTGGTTTCGCGTTTTACTGATTATTGATTGGTTACGCGGTTACGCGATACGCGGCAAATACGCTTCATGGGACTCCACCCTAAGTTGTGGAACTGGGCCTTAGGGTAAATTTTCACGAGCTGCTCAAACCGGCTGGTTCAGCGACAAAAAGGATCACGTGATCAAAATGGGCGTTTGATATTCGTC